AATTTTTTTGCTATCAAGAAAAAAAATGCTTATATTGTGATCCTCGCATTTGCAATGAAAATAATAAAACGAACAAATAAACAATAAAATAAAATGTACGCGTATTTTGAAAATTGAAAGAAAAGTCAAAAGTCATCGTCAGAATTGTGAGATATGTCCTGGATGCAATGCCATCCCAGGAAACCTTAGTGTCCCCAAACAAATGCCTAATCGCTTAGACGTTCGTGCCGGTTCTGTTCAATGCATATATATAGATAGACAAAAATATTACAACTCAAATATAATATAATATAATTTCTGTGAATAATTTATCATAGACTTGGCAGAAAAAAGATAAGTGATAAAGAATGGCAAAAAAATGATTCAGAAATTCAGTACCTATATTTTTGCTTAATGATAATAAATTCATAAATATAAATATGAAACTCCTTACTTAAATTGAAAATAAGAGAAATAAGATTCTTTCGCCGTTTATATCAGAAAATTTTGAACATATGAAAGGCAATCGCAGATTATCTAAACGGAAACTCAAACAATATACTACAATTTTATAGTTTAACATAAAGTTTTTACGAGTCTGAAACTAGAAATTTATTCGTTCGAAATTTTCAATTACTCATAAGGGTATTTCAATTTTCAATTATAATCATTTTTATACGATTATGAACGAACAAATAAGAAAATCGTTAGAATGTATTTGTCAGCAACAAGCGTGTTAAAATAATATTGAAATAAAATAGTTAAAAATTTACAAAAAAGATACAGTTAACAAAAAGAAAAAGTGTTAATTGTTAAACAATATTTTTTGGACTTCTTTTGATTCTATTCAAATTGGAATTGAATTCTCGAACTTGCCTTATAAACTTCTTTATTATTATAAAATGATCGAAACTTCAAACTTCAGTTGGTGTGTTCTGACGTACAGCAGCTATATTAGTACCATCGCCAGATGCTGGTGGCTGTTGAGCAGCAACTTTGGCTTGAGGAGCTCTACGTGCTGGAAGCGTAGCACCAGCATCAATATATTCCTCAAGTACGGGAGACATTTCGTATCTTCTGGGTGTTGTTGAAGGAACAGGCATCAACCCTCTATGATATAACCCAGGCTATAAAGTTCGTCTCAGTTAACATCGCTTCTTTTTTATTGCTTTTTAAATTTTTTTCAGTCTTTTAAATAAGTCGATAGCATTATACTAAGCTAATCAGTAAAATATGATGACGAAATAAAAGTACCGCAGTTTTATTTAATAAAGGAATTAGAAGTGGCATAGAGTT